AATTGATCATTACCGGGCTGATAAAATTCCAATCCACACATTGTCTACGATCCGCTTCTCGAGAGAATGCAGTGGTGCGCAAACCAAAGCACATACACAACTTTCGGGATGACTCGACAGGCGCTAAAGGTCTCAGGATGCAGCATTGGCTCCGCCCACTATCATTGAGCCCGCCCACAAATCAATACTATGTCGTATTCGTCACTACTGGAGTGGGGGCATTATTTTTGTACTTTCGAAGATTCCTTCCCTTTTTTCCATTACATTACAATTCACATATCCACAGTCACTGTAAGCGGAGAAATACATCAGTTCGATCCGGACATTGCCTTTAACTCTACCACCGAAGAAATCACCTGACAGGCTAGGGGTCGGAACATTAAGCCCTCCAACACAACCTAAAACTTTCGAAATATGTGAATCTCTTCGGTGGTGAACTCCCGATCACCTAAGATTTCATCCCACGCCAAACGGCATTAGTGCAGCACTGAGCGTCAACCCTCAGGAATTCGCCGGTATCGTTGAATATACATACATTACGAACCTAAGCGTCTATAGAATTTACAGCTGATATACAATGAAATGACGATAGAGAACTATACAGCAGTGGTTGAATGCAATTACGACAAATTCGGAAACGACTCCAGGTGGTGGTCTAATTGATGGTTATCGGATGGATACGGTAGCACATGAAATGGTGCAGGATTCTGGTGGAAACCGGTTGGCGTGGAGAGACCGTTCGGCAAGCCAACGGGTGCCAAACCTGAAAGATACCGTAATTAAGTTGGAGTGGTGTGACGGATGAGGTGATGAATGAAAGTGCGAAATGCTATTATTGCTACCAATCCATATTAGACTATAGGTCTTGTAAAAGGATAGAGCATTCATTGTTCATCAAGATCGTTTTTGGGATGCGCCACACATTCTACTTACATTCAGAATCGTAGCGGCATTTGAATGCGATGTGGCCTATACAATGACTTGCGGGCCAGCCGATGTACAAGTCAGTGTTTTTTATCCTCCCAGACAAGTCTGGTACCAATTAACCGACCCCGGAGGGATGGAAGGCTTGGTTGGCTCGGGCGACTCACGATCCGGATTTTGATCAGCGGACCGTGCACGGGAGGGGGGTAAGCGGGTGCGGGACTTTTAGCTCGTATTGCCTGGCACGGCGTCGCGTTGCGCGCGCACGCGCGCGATCTGATGTAAGCAAAGACTTCTTCGGTTTCGGGTAGAATTCAACATGTAAATGCGTGTGCAGAATTGCGGATAAACTCCGCATAGTTCTGCTGTTTGAAAATCTTTCCGTTCGCGAGATTGGAAGCAGCAGTATCGGTGAGGAGATTTTAGCGCAAGGAGATGAGTGAGATCCTCCATGTAATGTCACTAATACTATCGAAGCAAATAAGAGGTACTAAAATTGGAGTTTTTGTGAGGTATTTAATGTCAACTACATATGTATTGCTGGTCGAGGCGCTCACGTCCAAAGGAAAAACATTCAAAACAAAACAACAAAACAGGTCGATGGTAGGTGACACTAGGACTAAGCCCAACAGAGGGGAGAAACGCCAGGAAGAACACAAATTACTTCCCTCAGAATACCTTCTCCTCCCTAAGTCTCGGTCCCAAACCCAGCAATTGGTAATCACTCACTTCGACCAATGTAGCATCCCCCTCCCAACGACGTGAGCGCCATGATTGCCATAACAGCACTATGCTAGT